TTTCCCTTTTCTCGCCAGATTGAAAAAACCAGTAAAAATGTCACTACTTCATATGTAAAATAGTTCCAAAACTATTTTAAGTATAGAAATTCTTTGCCCCTATAAAGTATGAAGAATTATGTAGACTTCATGCAGTTCAGATATTCTTGAGTGTCTGTCCATCAAATATCACCCATATTTACTTGCATTGAAATATGTGGCCAGTGTGTCTTCCCTTGTGTGGCCTAGTTTCTTGTTTCTATTTCCCAGCAACAAAAGGAACTATTCCATCTTCCCTTTCAGATGCATACTGTTTCTTCAGCAGGACTGAATCCTGCCTTTATGGGTGCCTTTGTGTTTGTGCTATATGTTTCTGCCCAAGAGACCAGTTGAAGTATTGTACTTTACTGCTAGTTATTCCTTTCATGTGGCCTGATTTGGATGCAGATTTCCTTTCTTGCCAAACAATGGATATTAGTGATGGATCCACAGCTCCTCCCTCCCCCAGCCACCCTTCCTTTTCTCCTTTCCTTCATTTGTGGTTAGTACAGGGATTTTTGGAGCCTCTGATCTCTTCCAGTGATAAGGAACCACTGTCACAGTATTTATTCAAAACAGATTAACCACTGTTTGAACACATGCTAACGAATACAGCACAGTTTCCACTGTATTGAAAATGTGATCTTACATTGTGAGAGAAATAGGACAAATTGGAAAGGCGATGTGTAATGGGCCTTGCAGTTGCATACATTCATAGAATAGTACTGTCAGAAGGGGCCAAGGAGGCTACTGAATGCAACCCCCTTTTAGTGCAGGATGTGAAGGCACAACATCCCCCTGAGATGAATGCCCAGTTTTGCCTTGAATGTCTCTAGTGTGGCAGAGCCCCTGAGAGAACTTGTTCTATTCTCACTGTGCTCTGACAGTTAGGAAGTTTTTACTGGTATCTGGTCTGAATCTGATGTGCTGCAGTTTAAGTTCATCGTTCCATATCCTACACGTGAGGATGAATGAGGAGAAGTCTTGACCTTCCTTTGTGTGACAACCTTTGAAATACCTGTTTGTTTCTTTGTTTTTAGATCTATTATGTGCACATTCACTGGTATGAAGGAACAGGGATTGTTAAAAAAGCAACCCACAGTTCCTTTTCAAAGGCCAAAGCAAACCCCTCTATATCCCCATTCTACCCCTTGTAAGAGTAAATACCACTGAGGTCAATATGGTTTATTTCTGGGTAGACATGTATATGTTCAGCTGTTTGTTACTTACAGCTACCAGAACCTCTCCTCCTCACTGCAGGACAGGACACTGCAGTTTATACTGTGGGGAAAAAAGGCCTGACGTAATTGGTCAGAAGGAATACAGGATACGATGGCAGAAATAGCACAAGGAGGATGATTTGGAGTGACCTCAGTAAATATCCTGTCATGAGCCAGGCATCGCTTCCCAATGAAGGCATTCACTCCAGCAATCGCTAAAAGAGTCTTTATTCCAAACAGCTACAAAGTATTCACAAACACCGAAAATACACTCAAGGTAGAAAGCTGACCTCTCTCTCTGACTAAAGTCACTCCACAGTTTGCTTATGAACCCTTTGGGGCTGGTCTCTGGACAGAGGTGCACTCTGGACACGCGCTTATCACTGCTCTTCCAGTTGCCGCAGTGTATGAGTATCCCTGTGTGATTGAGCATCCCAAACTCCTGCAGAACTCTCACCAGCTTGTTCCCTATCAACTTCTTTCTCAGAGTTAAGAATAATGGGGCACCATGTTTATCCTTGAAGTGCTTTGATCCTCCTGTCTCAGCCTGATCCACTGGGGTTGGCTCACCACCTGGAGTCTTGTTAGTCTCAACAACTCCAATCTGAGATACTACTGGGACAAATATTAACTCCCCTTCTTCTAAGCTATTGTTCCCACCAGAGCTCTCGATCTCTCGTGTGCACCTGGGAAAATCTCATCTGAGCGCACGTGCATGACAGATCTCTAGTGTAGAGCTAACCTGGGTCTCTGGGCTCTTGCTGCCTGATAGACTTTGCTGGTGTGAAGGATACTATGGTGCTATTCTTAGATGAGTTTTGCTTAGCATGGGGTGGCGTGATAGTGTGGCAGGTCTCATTGCCTTGCTGATGTGGAGATGTCAACACAGTGCTTCATTAGAAGTGGGAATTCGTGTGTTCTGTGGGGTTTGCAGAGTGGCTGGTTGGTCTGGTAATTTTTCTTCTCATCATTTCCGCTTGGAGGCCTGCCTATGCTATGCTGACATAAACTGACTGCCAGCATGACAGGACAATAGGATGTCTTAGTTAATTATTTTGCATTTTACCTTGTATAATAGTTTATGATATCTTAAGTAGGGAAAACACACTTCCAAGTCATAAGGAGCAATATAAGGGGTGAAAATTAAAGAAAGCTGTATTAAGGTGTTGTTAACTCTTAGTATTCCAGCTGAGCTAATCAAAATCTTAAAAGATGATGCAGTAAAAGTGCTACACTCAATATGCCAGCAAATTTGGAAAACTCAACAGTGGCCGCAGGATTGGAAAAGGTCAGTTTACATTCCAATCCCAAAGAAGGGCAATGCCAAAGAATGGTCAAACTACCGCACCATTGCACTCATTTCACATGCTGGCAAAGTTATGCTCAAAATCCTACAAGCTAGGCTCCAGCAGTATGTGGTTTGAGAACTACCAGAAGTACAGACAGGATTCGAAGAGGGAGAGGAACTAGAGATCAAATTGCCAACATACGCTGGATCATGGAGAAAGCTAGGGAGTTCCAGAAAAACATCTACTTCTGCTTTATTGACTATGCTAAAGCCTTTGATTGTGTGGATCACAACAAATTGTGGCAAGTTCTTAAAGAGATGGGAGTACCAGACCATCTTATTTGTCTCTTGAGAAACCTATATGCAGGTCAAGAAGCAACAGAAAGAACTGGACACGGAACCACTGATTGGTTCAAAATGGAGAAAGGCGTTTGGCAAGGCTGTATATCGTTGCCCTGCCTATTTAACTTATATGAAGAGCACATCATGAGAAAGGCAGGGCTAGATGAATCTCCAGTTGGAATTAAGATTGCTGGGAGAAATATCAACAACCTCAGATATGCAGATGATACCACTCTCATGGCAGAAAGTGAGGAGGAACAAAAGAGCCTCTTGATGTGGGTGAAGGAGGAGAACGCAAAAGTTGGCTTGAAATAGATGCCTCTCCGATCCTCTCACTTCCGATCCTCTCACTTCCTGGGAAATAGATGGGGAAGAAATGGACGTAGTGGCAGATTTTATTTTCCTGGTCTCCAAGATCACCGCAGATGGGGACTGCAACCAAGAAATTAAAAGATGCTTGCTCCTGGGCAGGAAAGCTATGGCAAATCTAGATAGCATACTAAAAAGCAGAGACATCACCCTGCCAACAAAAGTGCGTATAGTCAAGGCCATGGTTTTCCCAGTTGCAATGTATGGCTGTGAAAGCTGCACCATAAGGAAGGCTGAGCGCTGAAGAATTGAGGCCTTTGAATTGTGGTGCTGGCAGAGACTCCTGCGAGTCCCTTGGACAGCAAGGCGATCAAACCAGTC